AGAGAGAACTCCAGGCTGATGATAAAAAAAAACAAACAAACAAAAAAAAAGAACTGGGAGTTGACAACAGTATAGAGAGTGATTGAGGCCATAGGTATGAATGAGACCAGCTATAAAGTAAGGACAAAGGGAAAAAAAAGACTGAAACTTAAAACTCCATCATTAAATCATTAAAGACCAGAAGAAAAGAATCACAGTCTCCAGAGAGGTGGGAAGAAAACCAAGGCACTCTGGGACTCCTTCTCTGATCATCTCATTTAAAAAATAGCAATGCCCTTTCTCCAAACTCCTTATTACCTTTCTTTCTTCACATTTCTCCATTGCACTATCAATATCAGGCATGCCATATACTCTACTTACTTATCATTTGCTCTGTCTTGCCCACCAGAAGAAACCGTTTCTTAAATGAACGAACGAACGAACGAATGAATGACAAGTGTGGCACGTGTGTGTGTGCGCGCATATATGAGCATGTTTAAGATAAAAGTGACCTGGGCACGTGTAAATGATGATAGAAGGGGTCCACAAGTGCATAATGGTTCTGAATTCAGGACTGGGAATGACAGGGTTTAAATTTTCTGAGAATATGGGCAGAGCAAGGATAGGGAATCCAGGCAGAGGAACACACTACAATCCCTCCTGTCTAACAAGAATATGGTAACAGGAAAGACGGAGGAGAGAACGGTAACAGATGCAAGTTGGTCTAGCAGGTTTGGCCATGGGAAGATGCAGGCATTCCTGCCTGATGACTTGGATTTACTCAGTAACATTTGAGGAATGATGTCATCTGAAAGAGTAAAGAAGGGTAGAATTGTATAGTGCACGGAGGAGAGAAGAGTGGTAATCAGAGGTTTAAATGGAATAAAGAAAATCTGAGTACCTATCAGACATCATATATTCAGATATGCATGGATAGGTAGGTGCATATCGATGGATAAGCATATATTTTTACATGTATCTAAAAATAAGTAAATATATAAGCATATATATTTTATATTACTTAATCTTCATAATACTTAGGACAAGTATTATCAATCCAATTTTATGGATGTGGAAACTATAGCTCAGTCATTAAGATTACGTAATAAATCAAGTTCATCTATAGCACCACTGCTTAAAACCCTATTGCCATCAGAAATTCTACGTCTAGATTTAATTGTCCTGTTATAAATACCCATTACGAACCACACTTCTCTTTTATATAACTTATTACAACTGCAGATTCATAATTTCCTATGAGTATTAGTTAAATGCCTGTCTCTTGCAATGAGTTCCAAGAAAGCATAAACCATGTATGTACCTGGTACACTGTAAATGTTCAATAAGTGAATAAATGAAATGTAGAGCTTTTATGGGTAAAGCTATCAATTGGTAAACCTATTTGAGAAAGTAATTTGGCAGTATCTGTTATGATTTAAAATGTGAATACTCTATTACTCAGCAATATTATTTATATGAATCTAAGTAACAGAAATAGATAAAAGAGTATGTATAGATATAGCTGTATTGATATATACAAGGCTTTGTTTCTGAGGTTTCTCTTTAAGAATAAAAATGAACATAATCCAATGGTCTATTAACAAAGCAATAATTACATACATTGTGATGTGATGGAGAAAGAATGCACATATTAGAGTATATTTTTGCATTTAAATGTGTGTGTAAAGACAGTGAATAAGGTTGGGAAGGTTTTTGTACATAAGTTAGCGGTTAGCTCTGGGACATGGGAATGAGGGAGGAGGGGGAGGACCTTCACCACTTGAGAAAATTCATGCGAGGAAAAAAAGGCCTTTCATTTTATATTTTAAAAATTACATAAAGACTAAGTTTAAATCAAATGGAGAGAAAAGCCATAACTAAGTGCACTATTAAAATACATCAATCCATAATAACATTAATTCTATTAGAGAAAGAAGTCAGACAGATCACATAGATCAGATCTTCCCAAGTTATTAAATTATTTTCTTTGAATACAATTTAGGTATCTGGTCAGATCTAAAATATCACATTGCAAAAGACATACAGAAACACAACCAGGATATGAAGATATTTTATTCAGGTGAAACTGTTTGGTCAAACTTTCTGTTATGGCCACTATGCCAAGACTGTTGTAAGATCCAGAGATTTGACAAAACGACTTTCAGCTTTCTCCAAAAGAACCTAGGAAACCTGACCCAGGATGTCTTATATCCTGACTAGGCAAAAACTGATAGTACCTATAAAAAAGGACAGGATCATTAAAAGGTTATATTTTATGAAGCCTACTAGAAGGGAAGGAGGAATAATAATAAAATTCTCTAAGGAAGAACCACTTCAGTATTCTACCTAAGTACATGCAGTTGTTACATAAGCTCATAACTTATTAGAACTCAGCTGATACCATTTAAAAAATCATTTTCCCCCTAAGAAGTCCTTTACATGATAGACACCTTCAAATTTCAGTCAGAAACCTCAAGGGTATTCCAAGGATGTAGTTATAAATGTATATATTTATATATATATGTATATATAGAGAGAATATATATGGAATTCTCTCTATACATGGAATTACAAAGGTGTAATTCTATAATAGTAAGTTACTACTCATTACCAGACAGAATTCTGTTGTTCTGAATCTATTTTACTGATAGATAAGAATTTGCCCTCTTTTCCTTTCCACTATAAGTAATTAACTCTCTTAGCTAAAGGTTCACTCTCTTATAAGGACTACATTTACTTTTACATGTCTCTCTAGTAGAAAGCTGTATTATAAAATTTTGTGTTTGGGTACTGTATTTGCATTTCTTTTGAACATTATTACTAAAATTTCTTATTGTTCTTCTTTTTTCTTTTAGCATATCTAGGGGTACAAATGTTTAGGTTACATACATTGCCAAGGGATGCAGCTGAACATGGGTGGCAGGCAGGAATACACCTTAAGATATAGCGAGCAAGGACCGTTTGTCCCTTCCGGCCTACTATGACTTAGCTCCAGACTTTCAAGTGACAGAGAATAACGATAACAATATAGCAGCAGCAGCCACATTTACATAGCTTTACAATGCATGAGGCACTGTTCTAAACTCTTTTTTTTTTTTTTGAGACAGAGTCTCACTTTGTTACCCAGGCTAGAGTGAGTGCCATGGCGTCAGCCTAGCTCACAGCAACCTCAAACTCCTGGGCTCAAGCGATTCTGCTGCCTCAGCCTCCCGAGTAGCTGGGACTACAGGCATGCATCACCATGCCCGGCTAATGTTTTCTATATATATTAGTTGGCCAATTAATTTCTTTCTGTTTATAGTAGAGACGGGGTCTCGCTCTTGCTCAGGCTGGTTTCCAACTCCTGACCTTGAGCAATCCGCCCACCTCGGCCTCCCAGAGAGCTAGGATTACAGGCGTGAGCCACCACGCCCGGCCTAAACTCTTAATAAACATTAATTTAATAACCACAACAACCCTATGAAGTACATTCTATAATTATTATGTTTCTGAGAAAATGTGGCACAGAAGGGTTTAGTGACTTGCTCAAGGACAAGAACTTTTTTAGCTACTGTTTGTTACTTGGGGGTTTTTATTAATTGCAGCTAACCTTAAATCCAATTAATATACCCTTAGGAAAAAAAGTTAAGCAACCTTTAAGTGGTCGAGTCAGGGACTGACATCCAAAATCTGACTGCAAAGCCCACTTTCTGCCATGATGGGTCCCTCCCAGAAACAGGCTGCACTGCTCTAGAACCTTCCAGCCTCCTCCTGTGATGTCCAGAGACATCAGATGGGTCTGCTCAGAGAAATCAAGCAGCAAAATTGTCATTCTGGCTTATTGAAGATGTGTCTCTTGGCCTATTTCCAAGTTGATTTTGAAATGTTCACATATTTAAGTGGACTAGTGTGAATGTCGCCAAGTAATCCAGCTTCAGAATCATTATGGATCACTGTCACCTAGCATTTATTACGTATCTATCACATTATTACATATTTTAGCTACCATTTATTACATATCATAGACCACATTGCATTGAGGTGGTTTTTTTTAATTATTATTATTATTTCAGAATATTACAGGGGAACACATGTTTTGGTTACATGGATTGCTTTTGTACTGCTTGAGTCAAAGTTATAAAGCAGGCCCATCATTCCAGATAGTGTGCATTGTACCTGTCAGGTATGATTTCACCTGTCCTCTTCTCTCCGCCCCCAACCTGTATGATTCCTGTTGAGTTGTACTTCCATCTGTACATATGAGTGCTATTTGGTTAGTTCCAATTTAGTAGTGAGTACATGTGGTGTTTGTTTTTCCATTCTTACGATACTTCATTTAGGAGAATGGTCTCCAGTTATATTCAGATTGTTGCAAGAGGTATTAATTCATTTTTTTTTGCTGAATAGAACTCTATGATATACATATACCACATTTTATTAATCTACTCATGTACTGATGGGCACTTGAGTTGATTCCACATCTTTGCAATTGTGAATTGGGCTGCTTTAAACATTCAAGTGCAAGTGTCTTTTTGATAAAATGACTTTTTTTTCCCTTGGATAAATACCCAGTAATGGGGTTGCTGGATCGAATAGTAGGTGTGCTTTTAGTTCTTTGAGGAATCTCCATACTATTTTCCACAGAACTTGCACTAGTTTGCAGTCCCGCCAACAGTGTGTAAGTGTTCCTTTCTCTCCACATCCATGCCAGCATCTATTGTTTGGGGAACTTTTTGATAAAAGCCATTCTCACTGGGGTTAGGTGATATCTCATTGTGGTTTTAACTGCATTTCTCTGATGATTAGTAATGTTGAGCATTTTTTTATATGTATATTTAGCCATTTGTCTATCTTCTTTTGAAAAGTTCCTGTTCATGTCTTTTGCCCACTTTTTAATGGAGTTATCTGATTTTTTTCTTACTGATTTGCTTGAGGTCTCTTTTTAAAGGTACTTTAGTACCTAATATGCCTATATATTTAACAGACAACTCTATCAGAAAATATAAAAGTTTCAGACCATTAATAAAAAAAAAAAGGCTTACCTTTATCATTCTGGATAGATCACCAGCATCTGCTAATTCCAAAACTATGTTTAGTTCATTATCTTCAATGAATGATGCATAATATTTAATTACATTTGGATGGTTGAGTTGCTGAGAAAATAAAACACGCACCAAGAAGTTGTCTTATTGTAAATTCCCCAAAGTCACGTATAGTTTTATAACTTAAAAATAAACTTACTGTATTTCATTTTTAAATTACATAAATCTTAACATGACAGCGTATTTTTCTTTAATCTAGTGAATTCTGAAACAAATATGATTATTGAAACTAAAACCAGGCACAAACCAATTTTAAAATTCTTTATTAGAAATAATAAATTTTGTACATAAAACTTTTAAAAACAGCACTATGCCCAAAAAGCATAAAAGATGCAATAAGTGAATGACAGAATTAAATCACCATGTGCTAAATATTATATGTTTTAAAATGAGAACTGTCATTTAAGACTACTCAAGGGTAAATAAAGAATCCCTTTTATGCCTACTTTGAAGTTAGGGCTGCTCCTAGTATAACTCCAGCCAATAGAGAAAAAAAACTCGTATCTAAAATACTATATCTAACTATTGCTTTACATCAAATAACATAAATATACAGAACTTATTTGAGTTGAGTCATAAAATCATCCTTAAGAAAAATTTTACCTTGTAGGAATATATGCCTCAGTATATATACCTTTACTATCTTTTTGTTGAATCTTTAAATATGTTAACACAAGACAAATCGTTTCTCAGAGAAATATTCAAGAAGTATAGCTAATTTTCTTCTTTCTACATACAGTTTTCTCCTCATATTTTCTACAATGACATGTTATTTCTATAGTAACACTTTATATTTAAAACGGTTACTTCATGTGCCAAGAAATAACTACAACTAACAGAATAGTCAGAAAGCACAGTTTGTTTTGACCTTACCCTTATCTTTTTGGATAAATTTGATTCATTTTTGGCATAAAAAATACCCAAGTCTTACCTAAAAGTTTAAAATATAACATAAGCCACTGCATTTTTCAAAATAAACTTATAACTAGCAAAGAAGCAGTGCAGAGATAGCTGAAATCTCTGTCATATTCTTAGTGGGTGAGAAGCTGAAAAGCCAAATCCTGACATGCGCTTTATATCCACCTTTTCTAAATTTGGATAAAAGATTAAAGAATATTATAAAAAGCACATGAACCATTTGGATTAGTCTACATTTTTAATATAACACATCTTGAGATAATACTTATATGCATGTACATTCCTTAACTTTTCGAATGTGTCTTGTTGAGATGGTCAAGAAAAAATTTCTCCAATGTTTTATGGGCCCATTTTATCTATTTCCTAGTTTGAAATTAGGAGGAAAAAAAAGCTGACCCTACCAAATGCTCCGATTAAATTATTTTACAGTGAATCCAACAGGTAACTACATTCTTCAATGTACTGAGATGCAAACGTATTTAATGTTACCTGAAATCAGTGTGGCATAAATCATAAAAATCATTTTGCTTATAAATATGGAATTTTAATAAACCACTTTTATCAACACATTCAGTTATGTTCAAAATAGTCAATAGTTCATCATTTACCTTAAGGAGATCTATTTCTTTGATGCAATCGGCACGTGCTTTCGCATCCATTAAATCAAATATCTAAAAATAGAATCCAGAATCATTTATTAAAATAATAATCTATGGTTCAAGCCACCATGTAAATTCATAATACTCTACATATAATGATATACAGATTAAGAAATTTTCTTTCTGATTAGCTTTCAGTGACTGTGGAGATCTGCAGGCATTTTATCTCAAGTTACCACCAAAGCTTACATTTTTCCCCCCCGAAGGCAGTCAGTATTAAAAAATGGAAAAGAGAACAGCTAGATCTCTTGGTACTAGGATCTTAAGTCCCAATGAACAAAACTGAAGTTAGGATCATTAAGATGATAAAATAATAGTTAATATACATTGAGTAATTAATATATGCTAAATGTATTACATGAACTACCTCATCCAATTCTCACTTAACCCTTATGGAGACGATAATATTAGTATTCCCATTTTGCAGATGAAGAAAAGGAAGTTTAGAAAGCATAAGAGACTGACAAAAGGTTATACAGCTAATCAACTGAGCAACCAGAATTCATTTTCAGAGTTATCCAACTGGAACCTAACCACGGAAACATTCACTGTTCCACCAAATCATGTCTAAAAGTCTAGTATGTGCACCTTGACCATGGTGGTATCACTGCAAGGGGGTAAAAACTGGTTCTTTGAGGAGAGGGGTGACCAGATTTTACTCTTTTTAAGAATAAAGCACAGATACACACCCAGTTCTATACTGTATTTGTGGTACTAAGATTTCATGGGTGGGAGTAATTAGGAAAAAATGTCTAAAAAGGCAGCCTGAGGGATGATAATGAAGAAAAAGGCTGAGAACTATTAGTTTAATCTGAAAACCATTAAAATAAATAATACAATTAAAAAAACATTTTGTGTGTCTCTGAAAACACAGAAATCTCCGAAAGTTCCAACCATGTGGAAAACAAACAAACAAGTAAAAAAGCAGTTTCTTAGATATTACAAAAAACATCTGAATAACTCAATACAGCAAGCTGGTCAAAACCTTAGTCACATTAACAAATAAAAAAATTTAATGCCATTTTTAGTCAAATTTGATCGGGTTTCCCCAATCCAGCCAGCCAGCGCATTCCAGGAAGGGCAGGTGTTGACGTGAGAGGAGGGGTCTTTCCAACTAGGGAAGGGATTGCTAAACATCCGCCAGAGAGCACTGGTCTCTTTAGTCTTCACTGCAATCTTGTAAGGTAGGTAGTACTGACTCCAATTTAGAGATGAGAATTGCAGTGTAATATGGTTATGGCTATAAAGCAACTAAAGGACAGAGTCAGGCCCAGAAGCCAGGTTGTTTCAGCTTCACAGTTGGTGTCTTCTCCACGGGCCTGGGCTGTCAAGAAGTTTAACACGCACATAACTAGTTAGCACTAAAATACGTGTGTGCAAAGTATAGTATCAGAAACATAAAGAGGGACTCCCCCCATATGGGGAGGAGGTAACATTAGAGCTGAATCCTAGAAAAATTATGGGATTCTGTCAGCCAGAAATAAGAGATATCTAATACATTAAAAGTAAATATAGGATAAGGGTGTATAATTGCAGCTTATAATAGGCAACTTTTGCTGTATATATCATGCTTAATAGCCAAAGATGCACAAGGTTCTAATTTTTTAATTAAAAAATCAATGTGAGGATATTAAATAAGATTTTAAAACAGAAATAAAATCCACAAATTCACTGCCTTAAAAAATTTTAGCTTTTGCTTAGTCCCTTTCATTTTTTGTATAAATGCATGTTTTTTACAAAATGGAAAAAAAATAGCAGCAGTATAAAAAAATGCCCCGTGCTTTTTCACCTAACATTATAGCAAGATGGTTTCCATATTTCTAGTCTTCAACTTATTTCTACCGTTTTTCATGAAAATTTCAAGCATCAATTTTTATGTTTTGCAAGTTTTAATGTGAAACAGTCAATTGCTGCACCCTGTTAAGATTTGAAAAATATGGAATCTTAGTTAATGGCTTACAAAAACAGATGACATCAAAGTTCCTCTCAGATAACAGAAAAGGAAATATGCATGCTTGTACATGTATTATAAATAGCAACTTCTCTCTTCTCCATTAATAGTAATTCTAAGCACCTCAGCTATAGTGAACTTGTGTGAACTACCATGATCACAGAAAAGGAAAGCAGCTGAGAAAGGAAAGGAGTATGAGTGGCAAATCACCATCACAAAGTTCATATAAAATATCTAGTAAGATATTTTTTGCAAAACATCAAGCTCTTATATATATCAAACTTAGGTAAAATGAGGTAATACTTTAGATATAAATGGACACCAGTAGCAGAGGCTAAAAAAAAAAAAAAAAAACTAGGCCGGGCGTGGTGGCTCACGCCTGTAATCCTAGCACTTTGGGAGGCCGAGGCGGGTGGATTGCTCAAGGTCAGGAGTTCGAAATCAGCCTGAGCGAGACCCTGTCTCTACCAAAAATAGAAATAAATTAATTGACCAACTAAAAATATATATACAAAAGAAAAAAAAAATTAGCCGGGCATGGTGGCGCATGCCTGTAGTCCCAGCTACTCGGGAGGCTGAGGCAGTAGGATCGCTGAGTCCCGGAGATTGAGGTTGCTGTGAGCCAGGCTGACGCCACGGCACTCACTCTAGCCTGGGCAACAAAGTGAGACTCTGTCTCAAAAAAAAAAAAAAAAAAAAAACTACCACGTTAATACAAAAAGTATGATACCACTTACTGAAGGAAGAAACTCAAACTTCTCTCCAAAGCATCATAGTTTTACTCCACACACAAATAATTATTACGAATAACCCGATCCTGGGTACAGACAAGCTTAAGCTATATGTGTTCATGTTTTCTATCATTTATAAAACCACACTTACTGCCATCTTGTTATTAGAAATCTAGTAAGCTGTGCATCTTTAAGGACTTGTAAGAAATTAAGCATGCAGTCCTTACAGATGCACGCTGTAAGGTACAGAACGCACACTGGACACAGAAAACCAACGTGGAGCTTGTGAGTGCTACTTGTACAAAGTGATATGAGAACTTCAACAGCGTGCGCTACGGCTGACAGGGCTCTCGATACTTGGTTTATACAAGCAGGAAAGTGTAACCTTTCAGAAAAATTTTTATAAAAACTAAGTAAAATCAAAAGTTCTTCACTTATAGGAATAAGCATTGCATTTAGCAATTTCACAAAGACGAGCTGTTCATTCCACCAAATTGCAAGACAACAGCTGCCAGAAAAATGATGTTGTTACTATCTAACATGTTGACAATAATAACAAACACTAATGTAAACAGAAAAATTTGGACTTGATGTTAGTTATAGGTATGAAATACACACACGGAATGCCTGTGCTTAAAAATCAAAATGGCAAGAGAAATAACTGAATCCTGCCAGAGCATGAATGCTGACTGCACTCTCAGGAACTGCTAGCCAAGCTGGGAAGCACAAAATTTTAAGCATTTTAGATCTTGAAGGAATCCCTGAAATTTCTTTTTTAGGGGACAGAGAAAGAATACTGCCTGCACAGTGCTAGTGATTAACATGAAGAAAATCAGAAACATGGAGACACATACAAATCTAATCTCTCAGTAATCAATGTCTCTATCATGGGAAAACATATTAAAAAATCAAAAGGGAGTAAGATGAGAATAAAATATGTGTAAGAGCTTTGGGAAACTGTAATTAGATAGAAAATACCAAGATAGAAACATGCTACATAGAAATCACAAATCTTTAATTAAACTTATATTTAAATTAATTTGGAACACAAATTAACTTTTATTTTTAATAGAATTTCAATGATTATCAAAAATCACTCCTCAAATACTGGGAGAAATAAGCATTGATGGCACATTTAAGGCAAAACTAAATCCTAAGCCAACTACATTTACAAAAACATTTAACTGGAAATTCAAAAGTATCTTATCTTTCCTTTGCTCTTAGCCAACATGTCAAGACAAAAATAAATAATGAAACCTTTTTTTTTTTTTTTTGAGACAGAGTCTCACTTTGTTGCCTAGGCTAGAGTGAGTGCCGTGGCGTCAGCCTAGCTCACAGCAGCCTCAAACTCCTGGGCTCAAGCAATCCTTCTGCCTCAGCCTCCCAAGTAGCTGGGACTACAGGCATGCGCCACCATGCCCGGCTAATTTTTTCTATATATATTAGTTGGCCAATTAATTTCTTTCTATTTATAGTAGAGACAGGGTCTCGCTCTTGCTCAGGCTGGTTTCGAACTCCTGACCTCGAGCAATCCGCCCGCCTCGGCCTCCCAGAGAGCTAGGATTACAGGCGTGAGCCACCGCGCCCGGCCAATAATGAATCTTTAGATTAAATCATTCCCAATCTTAGATGCAGAACTGTCTGATGATTTCATGAGCAAGAAAACACATTATGGATGGGGGAAAAAATCTGGATTCTGTAAAAATATCTTACATATAATATGTACAAGCAAGTTTTCAGAATGCATCTTTTTCAGTGCTACCAAAATTTCTTCAGGTTTTTAAGCTTATTTTATACTTGGTAAGAGCAAAGTTATTTGCTGTGGTTAGGCAAGTACTAGCTGATAAATTCTTGGTATTCTCTGAATCACTGTAAAAGTTTTCCTCTGTCATCTTAAAACTTTGCCAAAATTACTCATAGCTAACAAAACTGAAAAGGTAAGAGAGTCCTTCAAGTAACTTTTTAAAAATCTTTAAAGAGGCATTATGTCAAATTATTAGAAGAAAAACCACTTACAATGCAGCAAAGAAAGTACTCAAAATTATATACTAAGAGAGTCTGACAAACCTGGTATATCTCATCTTAAATAAACCTTAAATATAAGGAAATCTTAACCAAATACCTCCTGGGCCTCACTGGTTTTATAGAGGCTAAACAATGAACTGAGCCCTGTTTCCCAAAACCGAAAAGCCCTGTCTTCCTTACGACGTGTCCTCCTTGATTCTTTTGATCTCACCCTGTTTCAAGTCTCTGTTATTCCCACTGTTCTTAACCCTCCTAACCCTGATGTTACGATGACATTTCCGTCGCTCTACTCCGACTGCCCAGTG